TTAATATGTCCATTATTCAAAACAAATGCTCTAAATTGCTTATTAAAATTCGAGCATGTTGTATGTCAGCTGAATAGATAGGACTGATGGGTTACGTAATAACCTCCTCCTTGATAGTCATGGGATAGGTGAGTGACAGTTGAGGAGAATACTGTTGTCAAATTCATTCTATATAAGTGCCTCTTCGTACCATGGATTGAAGAAGAAGCACTCTTATTTACTTTGTGTTCTGTTATAATGACCAACGCATCAAGAAATCGGAAATTGAAACATTTTTCAATCATTATTTAATAGGAAAATATATTTGTCTTTTCTTCACGCTCTCCTTGTTGCTCACAATCTATCAATATATCGTTCTTCCTACCTATCTATCTATATATCTATCCATCCATCCATCTATCTATCTATCTATCTATATATCTATCCATCTAGCTATATATATATGTATCCATCTATCTATGTATCTATATACATGAATGTCCCAAAGTTTGAAATGGAGATTCGTACAGCTTCTTCATAACTTACTGTCTTAAGCTTTTTTAGTTAAAGGTAAAGACCAGTATTGGAAACGCCCCAATTTCAAGAAATGAAATGCTCAAAATCTCACAACAGACATTTCTGTCCACTGCTTGATGTTGTAAGACCATGTCTATAATTTGGTCTGCCCCTCTTACTTCTCCCGTTAGGCCTTTTTATTCTTTCAGCTATAGTTACATACCCAAACAACAGCTGAAGCCAGGGGCAGTGGGGTGCACCCCCCAAATTGCACTTACTGGAAACAAGGGCCCCTACAAAGGGTAACCTAAAAGCGAATAGAAAACAGGCATTATACCTTGGTATATACCCCTACATATAAATGATCTTCAACATTTTTCTTTACGTGATGCAAGATAGACCTACTGCTTCAGCACCCTACTTTGCAGTAGTGTATGCTTGGTTAAAGATATATCTGCGAGCGAGCGAGCAAAACTTTTAAGATTTGTGAGGTCGCATTGCGACCGAGTAGATCTTGTTAATATTTAAATGAAATCACTGATCCACATGGGGTTTTAAACACAGTCTTAATGAAAGAATGAATAAGAACTTTAGAAATAGCTCTATGTAGCTTTGAATTCGTGCCATATGTTAAGGAGACTATGAGAAATCCCGGGAGAAATCAATTGTTTCGGGGGAGGTAACGAGTGATCATGTCACAACAGTATTAGACGTATAGTAATTATGTTTCGTTTTAAAAAGAATGACATTACGCAATGTAAATTCATTTGCCTTGAGTGTAAAAACTACTTCATTATTTGAAGCTTTATATTCTTAAACGAATAGCAGTTGATTAACTTGGTGTTCTATGAAAATCAAAAGGGCACGGGGTTTATTAAAAGGAGCTTATTTTAGCAGTTGAGTAGAATAATCGTACTTTAAAGAGACTATGTCCCTTTTGCAGCCAACATCAAATCCTGTAGAACGTTTCGGGAATTATAAATATGTCATGTATGTCCTATCTGCGAAATTCAGACATCAGCAGTGTCCTAGTATTCAAATTATGCAAGGAAACCCGTTTACCTTCTAGACTTCACTGTGAAAAGAATTTTTCAAATCGTGTATTCCCAGATAAGAAATGTCTGGAGTAGTATCAGGAAGGTTCTTTCAGATAAGGCAGCTGCTGTAATCGTTCACACATTAATAACATCACGGTTAGATGGTGTAAATTCTTTGCTTTTTGGTATAACTCAACAGCATTTAAGGAACTTAGAAAATATCTCAGAAATCTGCTGCACGTATTCTTTCCAGAGGTAGAAATCTGACCAAGTGGTAGAAATTTTGACCACATTACCCCTACACTTATCGCACTACACTGGCTTCCTTTAAGGCAGATAATTGAATACCAAATTATTTTATTAACATGCATGGGGAAATAGTAGGTTCCTGTGCACATTTCAGACGTGTTGACTATTTATAACACTCGAACTAATTTTTCGATCTGCAGGTAAATCCCTTCTTGAGAGTCCTCAAACACACTCTTCCAGGCGCGGATCCAGGATTTCTTAGGGGAGGGGGCCCAACTTTTTTTTTTTTTTGCTCCCGAAAATTTGAAAATCGCGCCGGCCGAAAAGTCGCTCAATGGGGGGGGGGGGGGGGGGGGGGGGGGGGTTTTTTTTTTTTTTTTTTGCCCGAAAATTGAAAAACGCGCGGCCAAAAATTCGCTCAGTGGTGGTAGTGAGCACATTTTTTTTTTTTTTGATCCTCAAAAAAATTTCAATTTGCACCCCCCCTTGAGCGCCAGCCAACCCCAAAAATCGTAAAAATCACGTGATTTTACATGATTTTTTTCTCAACTGGATCCGCCACTGCACTCTTCTATGGAATAGATCGTTAATTTACTGCCTGTGCATCGAGGTCGTGGAATGGTCTTCTTCGAATCCTTCGCTCTTGTCACCAGTTATCCGCTTTCAGAATTCAACTAAAGACAGAACTATTTCAGATTGCTTATAATTAGTCACTGCTTTTTTGTCTTTCCCAGTTAGAATCATGAACAGACATTTTTGGTAGTTCTTCAGTCTCATCAGCGCCACTGATCAGACAACGAGATATTGGCGTTTTATAAAATACCTGGATTGGATTGAATTGGACTGTCAGACACTATTGAGTGACTGCCATCTTTTTTTTTCTTTGGTAATAACATACATAAAATGAGCTGTTACAGGTACATGAGCATTTGTCTACATCAATAACCAACTACTTATAATGGCCAAAATTAAACTGATTGAATCTTTGTGCAGCACAAAACGTACGACCATTCGGTACAAGAGTCTGAAAATCAGACTATTACTTAGGTGATTATATTTTCTAATGGTCGTTTTTTCCCCCACTGAAAGCCATTTTCAAGCCCTTTCGTTTTGAGGGAAGTTCTATATTAGTATTGTCTTTCAAATGCCGTTGGAATTTAACCGTTTCATTTTTTGGGGCCTAAAAATGGGACATAGTGCCTTTAAAGTGCAAAAACGTTTAAAGTTTCTCGGTTACATTGTTGAATGTTGATGAAAAAAAACCCAACTTATTTTGGTATAACATATGGAAACGTTGTATCATCAGCTCAATCTGACTTACGTGCATAGAACAAATAAGCATTTTTTTTTTCATGAAAAAGTGGAGTTTTCTAAAAAGTGCATTTCTTTCCAACATTGGGGTGCCCGGGAGCCACTTGGCTAACCTTTCAAAAAGTACAAAATAAAAAATAACATGCAATTTCTCTTTACTTTTGTCGGAAAAATCATACAAATCCAGCAAAATGTCGTCTCTTTTTGCATTGGAGAAGAGCAAAATGGCTAGTTTCAATAATCCTGCTTCAGCTGCTTCCGCAAGCTCTCACTCGTTCCAATGTGGTCAGGCGGTTTTATGTTTGTTTTCCTTCTGTTTTTATTGTTATTTCTGAAAAATCAACAGAGTAAAAGCAACAAGTGGTCAGGCGGTTTTGGGGTGAGCGGCTAATGAATATAATCGTTAGATTTCTTCTGGTATTAAACTTTTTTTGATTGATTGTATATTTTTGTCGGAATAAAGGAAACATAAAAGCTTGACAAATAACCTTCAGTTTCTGAAGTCCCGGATGCGCGCGCAATTCTAATGACGTCGCCATCGCTAAATCGGCGTCTTGTATCGTAAAATGCTACACTTTTACAATGTTGAATTATTAAAATATTAATATTAATCTGATACCACTGAAGTTTTGGGTTGTATTTAATGAGTAATTTTTAAATAAGAGCCAGTTTGCTGTTTTGATTTACTGGATTGTACTATTAAAGTAGCAGGGTAGAAAGATGCATTCACACAATGGAACTACCTGCCCGATGAAGCCAGTTTGTGGTCAACTTCTTTTATCAGACAAATCCAAGCAAACGTATCCATATGCCCTGTAATATGAAGAAAAAAATCCTGACAAATTCTCAAACCGCAAAGATATTTATGGTTTTCTTTGAAGGCGTCACTGTGCGACACCCTCTGTAAATTCTCCTGACCATTTTTGAATTTTCCCAACCCTTTTTCCATGAAAATAAAACAAAAGACATGCTTTAAAAAAACTGTCAACACTTAAACCTTTGGAATGGTATATACATGTAGTGCCAATTCATTGCTTTGTGACGATTAACATTCACCTTAATGTAATTAAAATGTAATAATATAGTTGGGAGAATTAAAGAATCGATTAGATCAGTTTTCCCCAATTTTTATCATTAATAATGGTTTGTTTTCACGCAAACTTTCAGATTATCTTAAATTGTACATTTAGCATTGAAGTCACTACCTTAGCACCACTTTCTCTCATCTAACAATGTAACCAAGTCCCTTTAATGTAAAACAAACAAAAAAGGGACGCCAGGCACAATTCTTATAACATTTGTGTATTGCTTTGATAATAGTTATGTCATGTTTATGTAATTGACTGACTGGGGCGATATAAGACCATATCACAGAAAAAAAAAATCATAATATTTTAGTTACATTACTATCAAATAAAATATAAAGATAATGTGTTCGCTGATAGAAAAAAGCGACATGCAAAAGACATCGGAGAATGATACAAAGGGGGATATGGACAAATTAAGAGAGAGAGAGAGAGAGAGGGTGTGTGAGAGAGAGAGAGAGAGAGAGAGAGAGAAAGAGAGAAGGGGGCAGTAAGGGAGGGAGATAAATAAAATATTCATATAATTTAATCAGCCTTTACATTCGTTATATGGACTAACATCAAAATGTAGCGCCTGTCAGATTTGAACCAATCGCATTTCTCGACATAGAGAGGAAGAGAGATGATCTAGCGACTAAGCACTAAGCTGATACGTTTAATTCCAAACCAATCATCACGTATAGCAGTTGTTATGTCATACAACCTCATTGATATGCAAATTTAGAGTAACCAATGAGATAGCGACGTTAAATTACGGCGAGGGCAACGCACATTAGCTAATTAATAATGATCCTTTAAATGGCGAACCAGCGAGGCAGTTGACAAGAACGCGTTGGGTAGGTGCCCAGTTAAACATCATGAGGCTTTCCGAGTTATGGGGTCCTTGCGTCGTTTTCATAGCTCTCAGTGGTAAGTGATAATACTTAAATATAGTCATTTGATTTTGAGACCGAATATCAATCGAGCAATAGGAGAGTTTTAATACTCAACGAATAACTTTCGTGTTTCTTGTCAACACCTGTTTCCTTGGTCAATATACAAAGGTTAGGATTTTTCAAGAAAACCCAAAGATGTATGTCTTCAACAACTATCTATTCTTTCGTTTGTCTAGTTGTTCACTTCTTTTCTCTAAAGCGCACTGGGCCAATTTGTTTAGATTTCGAGCTACAATATTGCATGAGTGTATACAAGGCCTAAGTTTTTATGTATGCTTGCACATATGTATGTACAGAAAATTAGGTAAGTGCAAATACACTGGTGCCCATGAAGTCTGAATAATTTTTCTTACCCATAAAAACGGTTGTGACAATATAATTTATTCTCGAGATATAAAGTATATACATCGTCTCAGAAATTAGTTGAGCATTAAATATTGATCAACACAGATCCATTAATAAAAATCACAGAAGATATTAACTTTATGCATCAAGAATAAATCATAATGGCAAAATCTTTTCATGAACAATGGTAAGACAATTAAATACCAACTTTATGGGCAAAAGTGTTAGCGTGAGAGAAATATATTTGCAAATATTTGAAGAAGATATCATGCAGCCACAGATACGAAGCGATTGTTTTAGTGAGCCTTTATATAAGTTCCTAACTTTGGTGTCACAATGATTTTTATCCACTCAACATTTACTGCAACTTACTCAAACAAAATAGGTCTTAAGAATAAACAATATTAATATAATTCACATGTAAAGATCATCGAGTATCTCCTTTTTAATCAAAGCTGTAATGGGCACATTGATCTTTAAAAGAAATATGATTGGTAAGAGATTTGGTCAAATATATATTTTTTTAAATTCAACTGAATTGAAATGGTATTTTTAAATTTCAACTGTCTTCATGTTTGTCAATATAAAATGAACAAACAGTCTAAACAGGACTTGATAAGTGAATTCCAATGATCCAATGCTATTTCTATTCACCAATGCTTTAAAGGTACTATGTCCCCTGTGCAGGCCAAAAAAATAAAAAGGTTAATTTCCAACGGCATTTGAAAGATAATACTAATTTAGAACTCCCCTTAAAAAAAAAAAAGGGGGGGGGGGCTTGAAAATGTCTTTAAGTTGGAAAATAACGACTATTAGTTGTCAAATCAACTTAGGAGCTATAGAGCCAATAAGTAATAGTCTGTAATAGTAATGCGTGTAACTGTTTAATTGTTACAATTCCGCTTTGTGACATCTCTTTTCTATCATGCATATCTTGTAATAATTTGCAATGATTGCCAAAAATCCACTCTCTGTTCATGACGTTACATTTACACCATTATCAATTCTTATTTTTTATGGCACATGATGTACGATTCTATGCTGATCTGCCCATTGTATTTGTATTTTTTATTTCGTATTTGAATTATGTATTCATTGTAGTCATAACATATCCATATTTAACAGTCTCACTTACATTTATTTGCCCTCACTATGTATTGACAGAATACTAATTTCGTCAAAAGGAACGCTTTTTCGGAGGCCCCTTCATATTTCGGGCTGTTTGCTACAATAAAAAAAACATCTGAAAGATTGTATATTATGATAACATCTTTCGAATAAACAAGGTGTGCTTAGGTTGGGTGGTAGTTGCAACCAAATAAAAAAATTGAGCATGATATTTGGCTTTGGCGTTCCGCTTATACGATTTATGGACGAAAACAAAGCCTTATTTAAAAGTGAAAAGTATAAAAGTAATCGGAGAGGTTTCCTTCTTGTAACTTACCAGAAATTTGCCCATGTACCGGGTCAATATGTTGTGTCAAGGAGAGGCTCAAATCTCTTTTCAGTAAAAAGTTATAACAACCCAAATTTATTTACTTGACTTCCAAAACAACTTTTGTTGATATCAATTTCATTGAGGTATGTTGTGTGTGAAATAAAAAATAAAAATAACTCCTTGCACTTAACCCTCCCCTCTCCCCCTCCACCTCCCTCTCCCACCCTCCCCCACCCCCTGCGTCCTCCCTTCTACTTGCGTGGATAGGGAATGCATTCTGGGACATGTTTCTTTACTTTATCGTTGTCTTCGTTCCACCTCTACCTCGCTCTTCCTAAAACTTCCCAGTTTTACTATTTTGTCAGATGCAGGAGAATTTTCTTTCTCATCCATGCCAAATTCTTTTCCCCCCAAATTCATCCTCTTTGAAACTGCATTTAATTTCATCCATGGTTATAGATATACCCCGTTCTCTTTCCATGAAAATCAAATACTTTACTAGAATTAAAAAATTATATACCAATTGCTTCTTTCCTTGATCAATTTATATTATTCCCAAAAATATCTCCTCCCAATTTAGATTAGGTATCAAATTTATTATTAAAGTCGTTCCATATCAAACGACCTTTTTCAAATAAAAAATTAATGACGATATGTCTCCTCTTCCTTTTTGCACAAGCAACACAAATTAGCTTGGGCAATTCCAAATGGATACAAATGATAATTACTGGTTACTAATGAATTTCGATTTATGCATGTTTCTCTCCAAAACACCTGATTACTGGATACTAACTATTTAATTAATCTGATTTCTGGTTACTTACTATTCAATTAATTTGTTTACTGGTTACTGGTTACTAACCATTTAATTTATCTCGTTACTGGTTACTAACTATTCAATTAATCTGGTTGCTTGTTACCAACTATTTAATTCATCTGAACAGGAATACACTCTGTATACAATAGTGTGTTGCTATATCCGGCAAGACTCTGACAAGCTTTCGAGTTGTAAAGAGCAACTTTTGTTTTAATAAGAAGTACTCATAAAATCAGTAAACCGTACTTTTCGATAACATTGCATTTTGTATTGCCTTCGAAAATTATGTTCGGATTTTTTAATATGTCATTGTCACATTGGCACATTTCAATAGGTGACGCACCAAGTGATACGGTTAATATTTATTTAGGGGATATCAATTTCAGGTGTCGGAGTCAATGGACAAGGCTTTACTGATACCTACATCACGTCGATAGTGTCACCGGAGTTCCCCTGGCCGTATCCCTCTGACATCCAACGGCAATGGCAGATACAAACGGATGTTGACCAGATGGTAATATGCACCTAAATGCCTGTATGTCTGACACGTGTCTCACTCTGTCTTAGGACACTCTAATAACATATGGGTCAAATTTTACCCGACATTTTGTAAGAAAATAAGAGTGAACATGCATGTTTGTTGGATAAAATGTTACCTGATATTGGCTCACTTTAATGAAAATTGTGTATATTTTACCCAATATTCAGCATATATTACCCAATAATTCATGGTATGTAGAATGTTCCAATGTTCCCTTTTTACACGATATAGGGTCAAAGTTTTACTAGCTATTTTTGAAGTGTATAGTCGTTGCAAAATGGGCGTCATTTGGCTGACAAAGTACTGCGTTAGAGACTGGCGTGGGCCTTGACGCAACGTGTGAAAGTGACATCTCACTAGAACTTAGTGAATGCGAAATACATATTACGAATACGCTTAAGAAAATGAAAGATAATTGGTTCTAGAACACCAACCCCTGGACAACCACCCCGGATAACACCCCTAGAATAATCACCCTCTAGGACAACTACCCCCTAGGACAACTACCCCTAAGGCAACCACCCTCTAGGGTCGACTACCCCCTAGGACAACTACCCCTAAGGCAACCACCCTCTAGGGTCGACTACCCCCTAGGACAACTACCCCTAGGGCAACCACCCTCTAGGGTCGACTACCCCCTAGGACAACTACCCCTAGGGCACTAGGTCGACTACCCCCTAGGACAACTATCCCCGGAAAACTTCACCCATACAACTACCCCCTAGAACAACTAAACCACGGAAAACTACCCACCGGACACTACCCCCAGACAACTACCCTCTACGACAACCATCCTCTAGGACAACTACCCCCGGAAAACTGTCCTAGGGGTACTTGTCTGGGGAGTAAATAAAAAAAAAACATTTTGGTACCCTTTCTTCAAATTGTTTTCAATCACTCATGCGTGAGATATGCATCATATGAGTTGCATCAAATGAAAGACGAGGATCTAAGCTTTACAAATATATGTCATTTATTCATTATAATTGTGATTAAGTTATGATAAAACATCGATAACTCTCTGTTTCCTTTTTTTTCTGTGACGGACTGTATATTGCGATTATTGGTTGGTATATTTTGGAAGATTCCAGAACTCGTAAGATAGAGAAATGAGACATAGGAAATTATTGCTTGGGTAAAGAAAATTGCAAATTGTCCAAAATAGAGCTGCAAGACTTGTTGAACGAGCAAGGGGGAGAGATCCAGTAACACCCATGTTAACTCGCCTTCATTGGTTACCTGTAAAAGAAAGAATTGCGTATAAAGTTCTTATGTTGTGTTACAAGGTAATGATTCTTAAATCCCCGACTTATCTTCTTGATATTATTTGCTCATACATACCCCGTAGAAATCCCCGCTCCTCAACAAAGAATCTCCTGACTGTCCCTACCACATCAACCCAAACATATGGTTCTCGTGCCTTTTCAACGGCAGCGCCTGTCTGGTGGAATCAGCTTCCTGACGAGCTTCGAGTTGTTGGAAGCATTGACGGCTTTGGAAGAGCCCTAAAAACCTATTTGTTTTCAAGGGTCTCCTCCTAGAGTTGATTTGTCCGTTGCTGGTTGGGAGGCTGATTTGACATGATGAGTGTCTGTCCGTTTGTTGAATTTGTTATATGTAATGTTAATTAATTTAATAGGTGTAATTATAGGTGCATTAATTAGTTTTTTTTTCATAAATATTTTTTGTCATTTGCTTATCTATTTTGTTATTTATTGTTTTATTAGTGTTGTTTATATATTCAAATGTAAAGCGCATAGAGAAATTTACAATTTATTATGCGCTATACAAATTTACTATTATTATTATTATTATTATTAAGTTCATTTAGGACTGGACAGTGTATTGGAGCTGGGCTTGGTATACGGGGATAATCCAGGAACAAGTTAGTAATAAAAAGCAATGTAAAAGTAATTTGACAGTAGGAGAGGACGGAGTTAAGGACGTAAAAAGAGAATATAGTAGAGGACATTATAGAACACCTCGGGATAAAAAAAAAAGAACATAGAAGCCATTAGTCGATAGACTCTTGTAGATATTTTATAACAACTTCACCAATTATTGCTCATCCCTTCTCGACGTCTTCCATTTCTTCTCTCTTTTAGATTTCCTGCGTATTCATATATATAAAGTGCGGTGATAGCTATACATTCGACCAAGAGATATTCTTCAAGCTACCTTGAGTATTTCTGTTGAGCCCCAAGCGTCATATTTTGTTCATTAACGAACACATTAATGGCGAAACAATAGCCCAATGCCGAATACTGATTAACCGCCGAGAGCCTTATCGCTGGAAGCTAAATTAATCACTAATCACTTGGTCATCGCGAGAATCGCTTCGCCAGCCGTGAATGCAACATTATTATGAGGAAAATCCCTTGTTTGTGTTTACTGCCACAAGTATCAACTCCACCTTTAGGCTAACATCAGGCGCGGATCCAGGATTTTCCAATAGGGGGGGCCGGAAGTTTGAAAATTGCGCCGACCGTTTTTTTCAAGGTCATATTAGAAGCACCATACCATTACAATTTTTGACATTTTCATCGGGGGGGGGGGGGGGGGGGCTATAGCCTATTATCCGAAAAAGTAACTTTCTGGTTTCACAATTCGGCTAGTGAGCGAAGCGAGCGGGCAACAATTTGAGCAAAAATGTATTTTGTAAAAGTGTTATTTATAACCAAAATAGACGAGAAAAGATTTCAAAAAATCATATGCGGGTAGCTCGCTAACCCCCCCCCCCCCCCATGACGCGCGAAGCGCGGAAGCTTTGACCTTTCATTAATTATTAGAGAAAGAAGACGATTTTTTGTTGTACCATTCTCGACTCTTAATCCTTCTCTGAATTCAGTTTTCCCCCTCCCGCGCAAAGCGCGGAAGCTTTGACATTTTATAGTTTAAAGGTAAAGACCAGTATTGGAAACGCCCCAAATTCAAAAAATGAAATGGAAGCTCTCATTACCAATCATGTGAAATAATATGTTTTGACTAATACATGATGATAAAAAATTTGCCGGGAAACCGCCTACTAATTCATATATTTGGTAAATTTGTTTCTCTCATGGTCTGTGAGAGATATAGGGTAGTCCCATATACATCTTTCTGTGTATAGTGCTTGTAACTTTACGAAGAATGGGCCAAATTTCTTATCATTTTGATGATTCCAGAACCTTACAGATGCTAGATGCTAGATGATCAACCTTTTCTGATCGATTCCACAACGTTTCTTTCACAATGCAATCGCATGACCATAACTGGTCTTTACCTTTAATGAAATTATTAGAGAAAAAGATGATTCGTTGTACCATTCTCGACTCTTATTACTTGACTGAATTCACCCCCCCCCCCTCCCGCGCGAAGCGCGGAATCTTAGACGTTTCATTAAATTATTAGAGAAAGAAGACGATTCGTTGTACCATTCTCGACTCTTAATCCTTGGGTGTATTCAGTTTCCTCCTGCCCGCGCAAAGCGCGGAAGCTTTGCCCTTTCATTAATTATTATAGAAAGAAGATTTGTTGCACCATTCTCGACTCTTATTACTTGACTGAATTCACCCCCCCTCCCGCGCGAAGCATGGAAGCTTTGGCCTTTCATAGTTTAATGAAATTATTAGAGAAAGAAGATGATTCGTTGTACCGTCATCGACTCTGAATTAAGTTCCCGCCCCCTCCCACGCGTAGCGCTGAAGCTTTGACGTTTAATCAATTATAAGGAAAAGGAGACGATTCTTTGTACCATTCTCGACTCTTAATCCTTGTGTCTGAATTAAGTTCCCGTCCCCCCCTCCAGCGCGTAGCGCTGAAGCTTTGACGTTTAATTAAATTATTTGGAAAAGGAGACGATTCTTCGTCCCATTCTCGACTCTTAATCCTTGTCTGAATTGAGTTCCCGTCCCCCCTCCTCCCACGCGTAGCGCGGAAGCTTTGACGTTTAATTAAATTATAAGGAAAAGGGGACGATTCGTTGTACCATTCTCGACTCTTAATCCTTGGGTGTATTCAGTTTCCCCCTCCCACGCGAAGCGCGGAAACGTTGACGTTTCATTAAATTATTAGAGAAAGAAGATGATTCGTTGTACCGTCATCGACTCTTTATCCTTGTCTGAATTGAGTTCCACCCCCCCCCCAACTCCCGCGCGAAGCGCGAAGGCTTTGACGTTTCATTTAATTATTAGAGAGAGAAGACGATTCGTTGTAACGTTCTCGACTCTTAATCCTTGTCTGAATTGAGTTCCCGCCCCCTCCCCCTTACCGCGCGAAGCGCGGAAACGTTGACGTTTCATTAAAGTATTAGAGAAAGAAGATGATTCGTTGTACCGTCATCGACTCTTAATCCTTGTCTGAATTAAATTCCCGCCCCCCCCCTCCCACGCGTAGCGCTGAAGCTTTGACGTTTAATTAATTATAAGGAAAAGGAGACGATTCTTTGTACCATTCTCGACTCTTAATCCTTGTCTGAATTAAGTTCCCGTCCCCCCCCCCCCTCCAGCGCGTAGCGCTGAAGCTTTGACGTTTAATTAAATTATATGGAAAAGGAGACGATTCTTCGTACCATTCTCGACTCTTAATCCTTGGGTGTATTCAGTTTCCCCCTCCCACGCGAAGCGCGGAAACGTTGACGTTTCATTAAATTATTAGAGAAAGAAGATGATTCGTTGTACCGTCATCGACTCTTTATCCTTGTCTGAATTGAGTTCCCCCCCCTCCCGCTCGAAGCGCGGAGGCTTTGACGTTTCATTTAATTATTAGAGAGAGAAGACGATTCGTTGTAACGTTCTCGACTCTTAATCCTCGTCTGAATTGAGTTCCCGCCCCCTCCCCCCTCCCGCGCGAAGCGCGGAAACGTTGACGTTTCATTAAAGTATTAGAGAAAGAAGATGATTCGTTGTACCGTCATCGACTCTTTATCCTTGTCTAAACTAAGTTTTCCCTTGGCCGCGCGTAGCGCGTAAGCTTTGACGGTTTATTAAATTATTAGAGGAAGAAGACGAATCATTTTATCATTCTCGACTCTTAATCCTTGTCTGAATTAAGTTTTCCCTTGCCCGCGCGTAGCGCGTAAGCTTTGACGGTTTATTAAATTATTATCCTTCTTTGAATTCAGTTTTTCCCCTCCCACGCGAAGCGCTGAAACGTTAACGTTTCATTAAATTATTAGAGAAAGAAGATGATTCGTTGCACCGTCATCGACTCTTTATCCTTGTCTGAATTGAGTTCCCCCCCCCAATTCTCGCGCGAAGCGCGGAAGCTTTGACGTTTCATTAGATCATTAGAGAAAGAAGACGATTCGTTGTACCGTTCTCGACTCTTAATCCTTGTCTGAATTGAGTTCCCGCCCCCCCCCCCCCCGAGCGAAGCGCGGAAACGTTGACGTTTCATTAAATTATTAGAGAAAGAAGATGATTCGTTTTACCATTCTCGACTCCTAATCCTTGTCTGAATTCAGTTGCCCCCCTCCCGAGCGATGCGCGGAAGCTTTGACATTTCATTAAATTATTGGAGAAAGAAGACGATTCGTTGTACCATTCTATATTACACCTACCATGGATAAATCACGGCCGGGAGCGTCATAATTTTGTGTTATCGGGCGAGGGCCGGGGCCGGGGCCGGGGCGTAGCGACCAAGCGAGATTTTGCAATGTTGAATGCTGAAATTATGCATTCTAAAAAATCCCTAAGCCCGATATGTACGTTCTTTCCGCTATATTTATTTCTAGCTATATTTCTAAATTTCCTGGGAGACTTGTCCCCATATCGGGCCCAGGATCGCCGCCCCTGTCCATGATTACTACCAACATGAGTTCTAATACAATCACAAGCGAGTCGATACGAGCTGAATCCAAATGAAGGGCAAAATAAGAGTTGTGAAGCGGCCTTACCGTTAATTTAAAATTTGACTGTTGAGTATATAACTTCTATTTAAAAGACATCCAAAATATTTTGCCCTTTTCAAATTTCTCACTAAAGAGTGATGACCGCAGGGACTGTTCTTAACGTTTAACTTTGAATCCGCGGCTCGAGATTTTATGCGGCCGGCCCGGCCCGGCCCCCCTCTATTCAATAACGTTTGCCAATGAGCCTTCTGGAATGTCCCCAAATCTCCCGATTTCAGTTTTCCCATATTTGTCGTTACTGTCACTTAGCGCCATTTCCTTGCTTTTCCCCCTTTCTCACCGACTTTTCTTTTCCCACCCCCCTCACCCTCTCAGTGTTATCTAGGGTACGCACATGTATGTTCCCTCTCTTTGGAAGCACCCCTCTGTCTCCGGTGTGTAAAGTCAGTACGGGCCGGATTTTTGTGTATTGCGGGCCGGACTTTGTTTCGTGAAAAGTAACTCTTTATCGGAAATTTAGGGAACACAAATTCGGTCCCTCCGACCCCGGAGTTGGAGGGAGGGGGGGGGGGGGGGGGGGGGGGGGCTTTTTATTTATCTTTTCTCTTCTATTTTCTTTTCTTTTCTTTTTTCCTTTCTCTTCTCCTTTCTTTTCTCTTCTCCTTTTTTTCTCCTCTTCTCCTTTCTTTTTTTCTCTTCTTTTCTTCCTCTTTTTTTTCTTCCTTTTTTTTTGCGCCGCCAATAGGGGGGGCCGCGGCCGTTTCGGCCCCCCTGGATCCGCCACTGAACATATTAAACCGGCCGTGCGAGTATGAACTACTAATAACTGAACGTGTGGTCGATCACGACGGATCTTCTCTGTGCGAAGTTGTCTTTCTCGCACCCACTCCCTTCTCTGCACTTCGCCTTATTTTTGTTCAATTTAGATTTTAGTGGTTATGGCTAAAATATGTACTCGGTTGTGATTGAGCCAATGAGAGACATGAAAGTAATTTCTTTTTGGTGCTTGATGCATGGCTGATCGTAGGGAAACGGAGTTAAGTCTTTTATCAACTCTGTTTGTTGCTACCGCAGGCAGCCAGTGAAAACGAATTCGTTTAATCAAATTATTGAAATGCAAGCATCACTTTAAACAAACAGAACTTTGTTATTCCTATCTCATTTTTCCCGATTGAGGTGTTAAGGGTAGAAAATGAACTTTCTAGAAATACGATTTTTTTCTTTGAAATTCAGATACCGCCGCGCGCCCGCCAAAATGACTTTTTGGTACTCTCTCTTCTAATTGTTTTTAATCACTCATGCGTGAAAAAATGCACCATATGAGTTGTATCAAATAAAAGAAGAGGACTTAAGCTTTACAAATATGTCATTCATTAATCATAATTGTGGTTAAGTTATGATAAAACATCGATAATTTTCGATTTAATTTTTTCTGTGACGCATTGTATATGTTTTTTTTTGTGTAGCTTTAATTATGGGTTTTTCAATTTGGCACTGTAGTAAATGAGCATAATTTCTAGTTCATTTAAAGTGATAACTGACTAATACAGCCGGAGAACTTGAAAAGATGTCTGTTTTAAGGTGAAGGGATGCCACTATTGACAACTGTCATTATGAGATGCTTTGGATGTGATACTCCAGAGTAAAACTTCTGCAAGTATGACAACTACTACAACTAAAATATCAAGTGGCTACTGCTGCTGCTACTACTACTACTACTACTACTACTACTACTACTACTATAACAGCTACTCCTACTACTACTACAACAACAACTACTAATACTACTGATAAGGGATAGGATCGGTGTTAGGAATAGGGCTAGATGTGTTCAATATCCTGGGATATTTCCCGGGTATATTGCCTGTAGAAATTGTGTTCAGATTATGTGCCGTGCCATTGACATATTCGCACATTTTGATACGTGAAGTATACAGGGATATTACGATCTCCGAAGGTTGAATTTTCGAAAAAATCTTGCGATCATCTAAACCATAATTCAAATATCCATTTCAAAACATTTTCACGCAGATTATAATCTTCATTAACTACCTGGACATCGAGCATCCTTGGGACACGTTGACCTTGACCCACTCTGCTGCACACGACACCAGTTTAACTCGCATCCCATTGGTCAGTGGAAATCTGACGTCTCTTTGTCTACCCGGGGGACTCACCACTATTTCGTTTTGCACTGATCTTGTCCAAGAGCGGGGTGGCTTCTCATTGGACATTCGATTTTACGATGCAAATGGTTTGTTGTATATCTGAATTTATATTCTGCACCAATTATAATTCATAGAAGGCAGCACGCTTCAGAAAGGGGAAAGTACTGGCTAAAATGCGGTGGGCAGATTTGAGAAAATGAAAAAAATATGAACAAAGTGTATATCAATTTCCATCACACCTTTACCTTCTTCGTTAATTTTTTTGTTTTTGTAAAACACCAAATTCTGGTCTTCTTTATTTCCTGATAATAATATAAACATCTTCACATTTTTAGCATTTGCCTCCATTTCTGGAGGGATATACATGGGTTTCTAATATTTTCTTCTATCTGTAAATGTAAACGATAATTCCATAGGTAAAACAAACTATGAAGAAGTCTCTGTTTTGTTCTTTTCTTTTTAAATTCTTTTCCAACAAAGCTGTTTTAAATAGTGAAAAGTGCATAATTAAAAATAAAACTAACATCTTTTCCCTCCTTTGAATTAAAATCAATAACTTCTTCGTTAATGAAGGCAAATCTTTGCTGCTACACTGGAGTTTGCTTCGTGAAAAATTTGCGTTTACTGTTTTATATTTAATTAAAACTACAAAAGCAAAGCGGTTAAAAGAACCCTTCTCTCTCTCTCTCTCTCTCTGTCTCTTTCCATTCTTTCACACCCACACAAACTCTCATACAAATTAATTCCTACAAGCGCCCCGAGCATACACTAGATCTCTTTAATCCTTTTTTCTCGTACAGCAAACCATTTCTCCATCCATCTGTCTGTCTTAATTTTTTTTTTCTCTCTCTCTCTCTCTCCCTCTCTTTCTCATTTGTGGACTTTTCCAGTCACAGGCCAGCTCTTCGATGATGCATTCAAGTGCGCTTCAGGGATTGAGACCATTCGAAACGAGGCTCGTTGTGACGGGATTGTCGACTGTCATGATTTCTCAGACGAGGTCGATTGTGGAGGTAATCCCCCATCTTCGTTTTTTTTAATTTTCGTTTAAAAAAAAGAATCCTCATAGCTTTACTTTACGATCACAAAACGACTTTCAAGGCTTTTGCAAAAGAGTGAGATTTTAAGAAAACTACATGAAATCCACCATGGATTGGATTGGATACTAGGTTTGGATGTACTTTTTGTGACGAGGGGGGGGGGGGGGGGATCGACAAATATTAGATTAATTAGTAGGACGTGTACGACGCTATTCTCCCCCTCCCCCTAAGTAAAAAATGATAACATCCATGTTTCAATTATCGAAATAATGATGGGACTAATCAGTTATTTAGTGATAAGTAACCTTAAAAAGTCGCCAAAATGATTTTCCTGCAGCATGCGACCCGGATTCTTTCCAGTGCCGCGGGAGTGCTATTTGTATCCTTCCCAGCAGACAGTGCGATGGATGGAGTGACTGTCCTCTATCTGATGACGAAGAACAGTGTGGTAAGAGACCTAATAAGATCAATTATGCTTTTCGATACTTCTAGTGTGATATTTGAGCAATTTAATCGTAAATGAACTTCTATAAAGCCCCGCACACAAAAAAATGGACGCATTGTCAAACTTCTTCTTTCGTGGCCATCATCTGAGCTCAAATGTTCTGCCAAGCTCTTGCAAACTGAAGAGCCTGCTCATTTGCTGCCACTAGGTCTTCCAGGCAGCATTTGTCATCTAGGAGTGGGCATATCCGATAAGTGTGCCATAGATTGCACGGATGTTCCACACTCGCAGTCGATGTCTGTGTCATCAGTCCTGAATGCAAATATAAAAGAAGATTTTTTTTCTCATAAATTTATAGGCTTTGACAAATAACAATGCCCAAGAAATCAAAACTAAATTTCCTAAATTGAAATTAACACACAGTTAAAAAAAAAATATATTGTCAAAAGAAACATTTATATTTAAAATGAAGGATTTAAAGGAATTTTACCATTCTTTTAATGATCTAGACACCTTGAAATGTCCCGAGGGCTATTCTTGTGGTGAATCGTCGTACAATGATCGACATGGACCCGTTCCATCGGCATGCAGTGGTCCCCAGTGGAACCCTTTCTGGGTAAATGGCACAGAACCCTGGTTTGGACAATCCTTGCAGAATGTTGCACCAAAGGCCACACTATTGTGAGTAAATTAATCAAGACGAGGGGCATTGGACTGTGTTCAAGTATCATGTGAAGGGCACTTGATCAGAATTATAATCTGGCCAATTACTGTGTGTGTGTGTGTGTGTGTGTGTGTGTGCGCGTGATGAGGCACATTGATCAGAATTTTATTAATAAAGCAGTGTTTGTGCGTTTTTGCATGTCTGTGAGTGCGTGATGGGGGAGGGGGATGGGGTAAGGAACTGAAATGATCAGAAGAATATACTAATTAAGTATTCTGTGCGCGTGCGTGTGCGTGTAAAAGACAACAGAAGAAGGAACTGGACATTTATTGTGGGTGAATATATATGGTATCTGAACATAATGCATCTTCAGGATTGTCCAGTATTTCATGTACGTACATGAAATTCACAGCATAGCATATACTTTCAAGGAATTAACCCAACTCAATATCCCTTTTTATTGCCTATATATATCGTGTTCGGATGTTTTCATATTCGCACTTTACACATTTAAGCGAATGGATGAAAATCTTGTCTTTGGGGTCAATTTATCTTGTTTGTTTGTATCAGTTTTATTTTGTCTGCTCATTAGCAAAGATATAATAACAATTTCAAGCAAAATTACTAAGAACTGTTTACATGTTATTCATTGTTATTATAATATGGTTCAGAATATATTATTTGAGAAAAATTACTAAATTGTGTACTTTCTGTTTTTGAGAGATTTAGAGAGAAAAGTTATTAATTCAAAGGGGGAACAATTAAGAAATTATATAAAAAGCGGGTTGAAGGTGCTGTAAAAGAGAATCCCCCAAAGGCACACCTCATCATCATTCATATAGAACCGTCTTTATTTAGTAAAGGTCCTACAATCTTGAATTTTCTCATTCATATAAATAACTTTAACAGACAAAATATAATCCCAAAATGGAGATTAACTTTCTTAAGACCATACATTATATTATTGAATCCTCTCAATCGAATTTCATATTTCATTCTAGAAATCTAAATGGATTACCAGTCATGGAGTTGAATATAAGTATGTTTGACGGAATGAGGAACCTACATACTCTGTAAGTATTCAGAGAAATATTAAGAATATGGATAATATATTACTGTATATATTTATTTTGTAAGAATATTAAAGCTCTATTTTGCGGATAATGAAAAGAGCTGAAACATATTACAAGCACTATTTGAAATAATGATATGGTCATGAAATAAGCTACTGTCTTTTAAAATTACAAACATACAATAAATAATTAATTAAGAAAAGTACCTGAAAAATATATCAGACAGACTTTCATGAGCAATTTCAATACATTATTTCATTACCTTTAGAAATCATGTTCAGATTAAGTATGTTGTGTATGCACTTTTAAGAGGTGACGCTCAAGGCTATTGGAATCGTTGATTTTACGAAAGTTCTTTCGATCGTATTCCTGACAGTTTTAAGACAAAATACTTTAGGAGGAACGAATGAATTTCAGTTTCAATAAAATATAATTTTTCCCGCCGCATAAATCCTCTAAAATCTTAGTTAATATTGGGACTAGAGGATTGCTTTTAAAGGAATTTCATAACAATAACTCAGATAATTTTATTATATTTTTCAGAGACATCTCTTCATGCCAGTTAGAAAGACTGCCGCCAGGGGTTTTCCGCAAACTTTCGCGCCTGTGGAAAATGTAAGCTTTGTATGATTCGAATTTCAAAGAACTGTAAATTCATTATCATCTTTCTTTTTTAAAATTCCACATAAGTTTTGTAATGTACCACGTATAGTCTTTTTTTAACTATTCGTGTAATAAAAGAGCTCTAAATTTTATTTCATTAACATTTCAGTTCAGTCATTACTATGGCAGAATAAATAGTTGAAACAATAACTCGATTGACACTTCTGTGGTATTGTATAGTTAAAGATAAAGATCAGTTCTGGTCATGCGATTGCATTGTGAAAGAAACGTTGTGGAATCGATCAGAAAAGGTTGATCATCTAGCATATAAGTATTGGTGTGAACTGCAAGGTTCTGGAATCATCAAAATGATAAGAAATTTGGACCAGTCTTGGTAAAGTTAAAGGCACTGTACACAGAAAGATATATATAAGACTACATCACTCGTGCAAGACACGTGCGTTATATCTACCAGGCCCAAATAGATATAATAATTTACCAAAAATATCAAATAGTAAGCGGTTTTTTCGGCAAAATTTGTATGATCACGTATTAGTCAAAACACATTCTTTCACACGATTGGTAATAAGAGCTTCCATTTCATTTTTTGAGAGGAGGGCTTTTCCGAAACTGGTGTTTACCTTTAAGTGATCCCATTGAGCTTAATTACTTGCATTTCGTGTATATCATATAATGAGAAATTGCGTTTTGGTTGAAGCTAGTGGTTAATTGTTTGCTTACGTAACAACGAAGAAAAGTGCATCGCTGTCAATCTTTTCTAAATGCATTTGACTGAAAAGTCTTAAATGCAATGCTATTACACTTCAAGCTAATTATTATAGCATTGTATGTGAGAAGAGCAGTTAGCCACTTATGTAAACATGTTTTGATTGTGTGTGTGTGTATAAGGCCCTTGTGGGACATTGCAAAAGTGCATTTAAATTCAATTTTTGAAAGAACGGTTTTGCCTAGTGTTTATTTCCCTTTCGAAAACTTTGAATGAATGAATCATTATGCGAATGAATACTTTAATGAGAAAATGGTAAATTAGTTTGCTGAAGTCTTTCACAAACAGTGTATCAAAGCACTAGAAAACTAAAAAATATTAGGAAAAAGAATCTAGCTTAGGCGTGAAAAGAATAATTAGTTACCCATATGTCTCCCTATTTTTAAAAATGCGTTTTACATAACACTCTTTGGGGAAAATACAAAATGCCTTTTAGTAGCATACACATAATATAATAAATACGTTATATGTTATATTAGATCTTCACAATCTTTGTCCCATGTCTTTCCTCGTTGTAAATGCAGTGTTGCAATCAACAACAGTCTGACGTATCTAGAGAATGGCACGTTTACAGGACTAGTCAACCTGAGGCTCCTGTAAGTAAACCGACAAATTGGACCGAATTCACAAAGGAGGTTTGTAGACCTAGGTTTATGTGCGTCATATGACGCATTTCGATGCGTTTCTGACCATGGTTCAAACAAACCTTGGTCTGAAAAGCGTCAAAACGCGTCTATAACGCATATAAACCTAGGTTTTGTCTACAAGGACTTTGTGAATTCGGGCCTTTATGGTTACAAAATTATCCTCATCAAATGATTTTACACCCAACCGGATATGAAGCTAATGTTCGAAAATTAAAGGGACATCATATAGTCTTCTTTTATTGTTATTCTTTCATTAATTCATTCAATTTCTTTTACAAATAGTCATATAAAACATAACTTACATTGAATTCATAACTTCGAAGGAGTATGAGTGTCATGAATTTAAGGAAAATATACAGACCGTTTGAATCTAATCAAATTTAAAGAATCTAACAAAGCCATGACACGCCTTGTATAGATTGATATTATTTTAAAATCCCGATTGCTGGATTATAGTCATACCGAATTGTTTCTCTGTTGTATGATATTGAACTCAATGGAGATTCTGCATCCAAGATTCAGGCAAGCACCAAAATTAAGATGTTAATGTACGGTGTATTTCATATTTCTCCCAAAATAGATACTTAGATTATAATCTGATAATGCGTTTAGACGAGGGGTGCTTCACAGATCTTGGTCGTCTCTTTTTCATGTAAGTATATAAATAGATCAGTGATTTTCGAAACATCCCGAATTAAATAATCATATACCCGGGGAAATTAAACCCTTGACTATAGTCTTGCGCGAAAACACTAATTGCCAAATATTTTTTTTTTTGCTTTGTCACGGCAGCTGTCCAGCGTAGTAATCTGCGGAAGAAATACAGTTGCAGTTTTGGAGGAGTGAATGGTTGGGGTAGAGGGTTGTAGTCGTAGGCCTGGGGGAGTTGAACGGTAACGGTGACGCAACCTTGCAGATGCTCTCGTGAAGTAATGATCATCATAATTCCCAAAACAGCACTGGCTTTTAGATCAACAAGTCACACAAAACGTAATGTTTGCATTTCTCTGTGAAGGAAAATACGTTCAATATCTTTCAGATATACAATTTTTTTCTCAATTACTGCCGACAGTGTTTTTAATCACCTTTCCTATTTGTTAAAGTTGCCATGAACATTCCCCTTTCATATATCATTCTTGTGTTTGAAAGCTAGCATGTGAATGTCAATTGGGCGACCCCCCAAAAACAAAAACAAAACAAAAAATCATCTTACACGCAAGTTTAAGAGAAGGGGGCATCCTTTGTTTTAAGTATATGACAACCCGAATAAAAATATATCGTGGTCAGATCTACTGCGTTCATTATTGGGTCACCGTCGTCACATTCAATTTTATCGAATAATTATTATTTTGTACATATTCCAGTGACCTCGGTTACAACCAGCTATCCAAGATTCGCCCAGGTACATTTAAAGATTGCAGTTCCATGGAGCGCCTGTAAGTTTTCTGCATTTTTATATTAAAGATTTAACTTGTTTTCTGGTATAGAAAGTATAGAAAATAAATTATCACAGAATCCAATGAAACTTACATTAAATGTTCAAGATTTCAAATAAATAACATGTGCCAAAAAAAGTTGGTAGAAAATGTATAGTGGCTGAGTTATGAGCAGGCAAAGTTAAGGAAATCTGGTAGTGGGCCCGACACCATGTGCATAACACAAGTCACTATGTGCAAATTGGAGTTGTGGTTTTTATCGAAGATGGTGCCCAGTAAGGTTTCGTGCCTTTGTTTTTATTTCACTGGGTCAAACGACCAAGCTACTGCAGGAAAAAACAATCCAGAATAAATCACAGTAATTTTCTCTCAAATATGATTCCCATACCAGAGCTCAAGATTAGCATTAAAAGCACACTGCATCCAATATATATATATATAAATAATATATTTTTCATAAAAGAACATCGAGTATATATATACTCAATGTTCTTTTGTAAAAAATAAAACAATTAATATAAGATACACATTCACATACACATTCCTTAATTGTCCAGCGGACATCAAAGGATATACCTGTACATTATATCTTCTCCTCTTTTAATTATTTCGAATTTTAACATGTACAGTAATTTCAGTTTTATCAGGATACTATAAATATGATGAGTTGAATTTCGATGATTTTTCTTTCTTTCAGGGTAATGCCTAAAAACCATATTGAAAGTGTGAATAGTTCCGTATTTGAAGGAATAGAAAAACACCTCAAGATAGTGTAAGTATTAACAAACAAATAAAAATCAAAACTGAGAGCACGTTGTTTTCATTTAATTGATCATAGTAGTTTTAAGCAGAAGAGAATTTCTTGGGGCGCTTTAGAAATAATTTCCATAATTAATCTGTTTTTATAAACTTATTGTTTATATAATCGTTACTTTTATTATTTTCATTATTTTTATCATTATGATTATTGTTAATATCATTGTTGTTATTGTTATTATCTATTTTGATATCATTATTGTGATTATTGTTTATATTATTATTATTATTATTGTTCTTGTTGTTATATATTTTTTATATTATTATCATCCAGATTATCATTGTCATCGAAATGGATTTCCGCTTTTTAGTAAAATACAAAAGAGAAGCAATGTGGAAGTGGAAGAAAGAAGTAATTTGAAATAAATGTCAATCAGTCAGTACAAGCATGGAAAGGTGTCTAAAGAAATTTAGAATGTTTAGTTGCCACGTTGTACTGGGGAAAAACACTATAAGGAAATGACAATATCAATCAGTAACATTAGTCATAAAATAGAAATAATCAACAAAATACATCGGTTTGAATTTAACTCTAGTAGAATTCGTGTAGGTCAGTGTATGTAAACCTCCTGTCCCTGTTGGTCGTTTCATGATTTCATGTCTCTCCATCTCATTATTACTATTAGTTTACCCCTGCAGAGACCTCTAATGACGTCTTCCAACGCTTTTCTTTAATTCCTTAACTTACTGATAATTGTTATTGTCTTCGTTTCCATGCCCCTGCAGCTCCTTTCGTGATAATCCTCTTCATTCCATCGCCCCCGGTACTTTCGACGGTCTAACTCGACTCGATGATCTGTAAGTACACTCCTTACATTTATATGAAAGCCCATTTCCACCATCACTTTACTTTTTACAAGATGATTACTACTAACATCACCGTGGGAAATTACCAGCATGACTTGTACTAATGATGAGAGTGTGTATTGTGACAATTGGTGACTAAATTTGGAAATTCGCCGCTAGAATTTTGTGATTTATATCTCTAAGGTTTAGTTTCATCCATTTGATTTATGTTTTGGTAACACCGCTCAATACATCTATTAAGTATTATCTCCTTTCAATATTATAATTACGTGTGTATTAGACTGCACTGTTCAAGCTAAGCTTTTCAAAGTTGTATGAATTCAGATCACTAACAGCGCTTTTTGGATCGAGCTGTCACTGTGAGTTTAGAGATTATCGAGCACACTAGATTAAAAATAGAAAATTTTGACAGAAAAATTGATGTGTCAGAAAGATGTGTCGATAAGCTGAACTGCACAGCGTTTTGAGCCTTATATTATGGTGATTTGAATGGTTCTAGCCGTAAATCAATTTTTGTTCGTTCCTCCTTTGTCTTGTTTTATTCTAATTATTCTCGTTTGCTTGTCATTCAAAACTTACAGACATATTATGTCCACTACGACGAAACGTATCCAGCTTTTCCCGGAGATATTTCAGGGATTGGAGAACCTGCTTGCATTGTAAGTTTTTTTAATCAATTCTTACAAGACGATAAATTAAACCTCAACCTTAGCATTAAACATTTTCGCACTAAAGCTTTGTATTCGGTTAATTTAGCATTATTGGTTTAAATAATTTCACTCTTTAATTGTCAATATATTCTGCTACGAGAAAGCAAACACACAATTTGTAACACTGAAACGATGTCATTATACAGTGGTGGATCCAGGTGGGGGCCGACAGGGCAGCCACCCATCCTTGATGGCCTCATAAAATACAAGGGGGGGGGGGGGGAGAGCAACGGGTGAGTGAGAGAATGTGTTTCCACCGAAATAACCAATATGGGCAGTGCAAATTTGAACACACGTTCGCTCCGCCGTTCCCCCTTTTTGGAAAATCCCGAGTCCGCCGTTGTTAACGAGTAGGTAACCCAAGGTAACTTTGATAGCCTTGTGCCTAAAGCCCCCATCACACCGTCCTTGCTCGAGGGCTATACAAACCCAGCGCGTTTCTGCCATTCCTTATTCCCGTTCAATATTTCAGGCTGTGCAGATGAAGACATAAATGTCACGTTGTAACATGTTCATAGTACGATCGAAGTACGGCAATTCCGTTCGCAGTACGCCCATCTCGTTTTAAGGACGTTGTCACTTCGTCTAATTGCAGGACGGGAAAAAATTCTGGACAGACAAACTGAGCCCGTCCATGAAGCTCTTAAACAGATCATAAAAGTTGCTACTACGTTCAATCCGTTCGCACACAGTTTGAGCCCGTTTGGCAACATTTCCCAGAACGTATTAAGAACTAGTTTGGTGTGATGTTGGCTTCACTTCAAAGTCTTGAACTGCACAGCTTGAATCGTTGAAGTTGAACGGGAATGAGGAATGGCAAGAACGCGCTGGGTTTGTATAGCCCCCGGCCTGGACGGGATTGCACACGCTCTAGGAGCCCATTCGGACGCTTTAAGAACGAGATGAAGACGAGTTGAACTGTCTTTGAACGAGTTGGCTGGGTACCAAACTGGTTGTAACAAGTTTCAAACTAGTTAGAATGGATTTGGACATATTGGGAACGAGGTAGAACTAGTTAAGAACGGGCTTGGACTGCCTGGAAATGGGAAATTTCCCCCGATCTGAACTTGATATAAACTGGCTATGGACGGGTACATATAAGTTGAACGTAAAGAGAACTGTTTATGAACGAACTAGGATCGTACTATAAACATTTTTTTTAAATATATATTCTACCCCGACCACAATCCGTTTTACGGTTTTTCTAGGACGATTCCAGAACGTAGTGAGAACTATAGTTTGGTGTGATGGGTTTTTTAAATTAATGAACGTGACAATGACATTATTAGGCACAGGCGCGTACGCAGGATTTTTTGAAGGGGGGGGGGGGGGGGGGGTTTAACATTTATAAATCGGGCCGAAAATTTCGCAACGACTCAGCCAGCCGCTGAATAAGCGGGGGGGGGGGGGGCGGGGGGGTAAGAGGTCACTTTTTTTTTTGGGGGGGGGTCCCAAAAAAATCGCAACGACTCAGCCGACCGCTGAATAAGCGGGGGGGGGGGGGGGGGGGGGGGGGGTAAGAGGTCACTTTTTTTTGGGGGGGGGGTCCCAAAAAAATCGCAACGACTCAGCCGACCGCTGAATAAGCGGGGGGGGGGGGTAAGAGGACATTTTTTTTTTTTTTTTGGTCTCGAAATTTGAAAATTTGACATTTGCTCCATTGGGGGGGGGGGGGGGGGTAAGGTCAGCTTTTTTAGGTCAACCATGGGAAAAAAACCAAAAGGGGGGGGGGGTTTAGAAAAATTTAGGGGGGTTTACACACAAAAAATTACCAAAGGGGGGGGGGGGTTTAACCCCCCCCCCCAAACACCCCCCCCCCTGTGTACGCGCCTGATTACGCAATCCGAACTTGATTATTACATATTAGCGCCCATTTTTATCTACCCCAATTTAAGTCTGATAGATGCCCCTTTTATGTTGACAAGTACCCCTTTCTTTTGTAATAAATGCTAATTCTGACCCTTCTTATAATTGCCCCTTTTCTTCTCCATTGAGTGCCCTTTTTAGCTATGAGAAGTGCACCGTTTCCCATCTAATAGTTGCCCCTTTTTACTTTAACACGTGCCTTTTTTTCTTTTCTATAATAAGGGACCCTCTCCCTTCTGTTAAGTGCCAATTGTTTTGGTAAAAAGAGCCCCTTACACTATCTGATTAATGCCCCTTTTCACCTCTGATAGCTGCCCCTATTAGTCCCATATAAATGCCTCTGTTGCTTTGACAAGTGCCTATTTTCCTTTCCAATAAGTGCCCCTTTCTCTTCTTTTCCCCTCTAAAAGGTGCCCACGTACTATTAAATACTGCTAATATGAGAAAATGCCTTATACGGTACACGTACAGTCTGTTTTCCACTCAAACTGCGCAACCTGTAATAAAGAAATCAATTCATTTGCCATAACGAAAAATCCATCACATTATCTGATCATTTTCTTTCCTGTATGTGGCATGATAACATAAACAATATGGTTTATAAAGAAAAAGGGTTTTAATGGACATATTTGTGGTGTGTAAAAACCTTTGAAATACAGGTATTTTCATAACCCCCATATTAAGAGTAAATCAAACTTTAATGTTTCAATACACCATAATTTATATATATAATATCAACTTGCAACTGTATATTAAACATGTTCATTACTTTAAACTCATGATAAAATTTGAATCAATTAAAGGTCTTTTTCATGTAATACATATTTGGTCAAAATTAAAAGTCTTGATTTATGACGCTCTTTCAAATCTTGAGCCAAAAATTATATTTTTAGTCTAACCAAATGCGCGTGGCATCCAGTCCTATCTTATTTCTTAGTATTATTACAAGAGTTTAAAATGCATGTGCATAACCCCAAAATGCCCTCCAAAGTACAAAGTCTGTCACATAGTAATGATAATGAAATCACCCTTAGGTTCAAAATTTGATTATTGGAAGTACATGTATTTGGTACTTGTTCGAAATCTATACATGTAATAGAATGAGCGAAGGATAGGGTACAGTCTTTATCTTAAACATAATTAAAGAGAATTACTTTTCGAGGTTAATGGTCTGTTTAATCGTCCTTCTTATCGTGAAATCGTGAAATAGTAACATAATCTTAGGACTTTGTTGCTTTTAACATCATATAATCTCATTCTTGATATCGATTTCGAAATCCATTGCCAACAGAGTGGTGTATGACTCCCGGCTCTGTTGCATCGCACCAGAGAGAGCCTCATGCGTTGAGCGAGTACCCTCTCATCCCCTCTTCACCTGTCGGAAGACCTTCCTCCAGAACCTAATCATCAAGATCTTCATGTGGATCCTGGGTATCAGTGCGTTGCTAGGCAACGCCTTCGTTATTTTGATGCGTCTTCGGTGGAAGGAGACGACATCAGCGGGCAGTATTCAGTCAATCTTTATCACCAATCTGGCCTTTGCCGACTTCTTGATGGGCACCTACATGATCATCCTTGCCACTATGGATCTCTACATAGGTGATTCGTACTTCTGGGAGGGTCGAGCCGAGGAGTGGAGATCGAGTATCGTCTGCCAGATAGCTGGCTTTATCACATTCTTGAGCAGCGAGGCATCTGTCTTCCTCCTCACCCTCCTCACCGTCGACCGCTTCATCTGTATCATCTTTCCATTCAGTACGTACCACATCACCGTCGCCAAAGCACGCATCCTCACCGGCTGTATCTGGGTGTTCTCTTTCCTACTTGGTCTCGTCTCCATCCTGGTTAACTACCTCAACCCCGACGCGTACAGTCTGAGTGACGTGTGCATTGGCCTGCCACTCATCCGCAAGTCTGTTGACCTGTATGCCGAACTTGACGAGAATACACAGTCTCGGTATGACGTAGCGAACTTCAACACGGTAGCTTCATCCACCGTGTCTACCTGGGAGTTTTCCATCGCCGTCTTTTTGGGTATAAACCTCATCAGTTTCATCGTCATCTTTCTCTCCTACATTGCCATTTTCTTCAGGGTAATTGACTATGTTGAGTTTTTCTCTGTTCCTGTCGATAAACCTATTAATCTTGTAATCATAAAGTATTCGACTTTAAATGACTTTAAATTTCTTAAAAAATATGGTGACCACACATTTTCTCCTGCGACAATTGCTCCGGCTTTATTTTGTCAACGATATATAGGGTTGGGTTGCAATTTGGTTTTGGTTTAAGTCTAGGGTAAGGGTTAGGGTTATGTTCAGGGTTAGGTTTAGTGTTGTGTCCACGGTTGTAATTCAGAATTCGGTTAGAGTAGGAAATTGACGCGGAGCAATTGGCGTACATCCAAAAAGACATTTATTCTTCCGATTCTGTTTAAAGGTTCACGCAGGCACATAGGGGTGACTTTATTAAGAGAGTACTATTGGAGGGATATCATTTCACTTGTCTCTGACCAAAAAGGTCACTTTGAAACATAAAGCTAAAGACGGAAATACTTTGAGCAATCTTTAAAGGAACTTAAGCATCCGCTTTCTATATAAGAAATTACAAATCAGTCACCCTTTAATAACCCTGTGCAATGAATGGGTCAAGTTTTGCGCTCAGTAGATAAAAGGAGTTACGTGATAAAATATCTGTTCCCTTGCATTTTCGGATTTCTGTCTTAAATTACTTCCTACGCAAGAACGTGTCTTGAAACCTTGTCTTATGATGAGCAGAATAAAAAAAAAACGTATAAATCCAAATTAAATGTATTTTCCTGGATTTGTTTTCTCCAATTTTCGTTATTACAGTAGCACTCTCTCTCTCTCTCTCTCTGTATATATATTTATACACACATACTTAATTGTAAAAGACAGTTTCTTGAAACTTTGTCATGTATGTATTCCAGGTGCGTTATGTACGTGGCCAAGTCGGTCGTAAGGGGAAAGCGGCGAACGAGATCAAGATGGCCCTTAAGCTCCTCTTCATAGTCGGCACGGACTTCTTCTGTTGGATGCCCATCATTATCCTGGGTATCCTCATCGAAGCAAACGTCATCACCATCTCCTCCAACGTCTATGCCTGGTTGGTGGTGTTCATACTCCCCATCAACTCCTCGATCAATCCCTACTTGTACACCATCATCAACGAGCCGACGACCACGCCCCATCGAGAATCGAAGAAATAATATATACAAACAAAAAGAAGAAGAAGAAGAAGAGGAAGAAGAAGAAGAAGAATAAGAAGAAGAAGAAGAAGAAGAAGAAGAAGAAGAAGAAGAAGAAGAAGAAGAAGAAGAAGAAGAAGAAGAAGAAGAAAAAGAAAAAGAAGATGATGAAGAAGAAGAAATTCAACAGCATCAATAAAAACAACAACAACAACAATAACATCAAAACTATAATAAAAAAGAATAAGAAAAGAGATGAAATCCACGGAGGCAAGTTTACTTAGATTTATTATCAACGGTCTTTAAGATAATATTGTATATACATTTACGAAATGCACATATAGATACACGCGTTTTGATTTTTATTGTCTTAAAAGAATATGGTCAGATTTAAGATGTTATCTTTGATTTCTAGAAATTGTCAAAAATCCTTGACATTCAAGTACACTGTTGGTCATAATGGTGGAATAATTATTTATACCCCCAATTTATTGAATGATTTTGACAATGATTTATTCCTAATAGATCTAGATAACAGTATACATTCTCAGATTTTATTGAATGACAATTGGGGAGTGTTTGTTTTGTGTGACTGCTAAAGCATGTGTGTGCTACTATGCTAATCAACAAGGGGATCTACGTCCTTAAGTCATATCTGACTTTTATGGGGATTAATGCCTCATAAAAGGGCACTAATATAGCCAATTGACACGGTTTTGATCATGGGGGCTCACAGTAATGAGGCCATTGCTTAGCCAAAGAATCATGACGGTACGCAGCGGGCGCTAGGGTACGTCGACGCCCCCACAAAAAAAAAGAAAAAAAAAAAGAAAATGCAATAAATTTTCAATAAATCATTGCATTTTCCCCCAGTCTCCAACAGGAAAAATTCCTCTGTAGGGCCATGCATTATGGTTCAAGGCATGCCCACATAGAAGATTTCTTTATGTTGGTGGTCGGAGCCATTATGACCAACAGTGTAACTGCCAAGGTATCACTTGATCAAAAACATGCCACCCCGTATGGCATATTTTTAAAATATTCCATCTATGGACGTAATTGAATACACACCAAATACTTTAGGAGAATATGGCAAATAGTATGGCCCTAGTATTTCACGTAGACGATTTAGCCAGCGTATGCCGACGTATGCAAAGAATTTTGATACGTCGGCATACGCTGGCTAAATCGTCAAGGTGTGACAGGGCCATGACTGATATTGTTTTTGTCAAGTGCTGAATGCATTTTCTCAATTGTGTGTTGTCCGTGTTAACTATCACGTACATTTGGCAAATAGTAACTTATGTTGTGTTTGTTAGTTTCTGAATGCCTTTTCTCGCCTGTGTGTGTGTGTGTGTGTGCAGAGGCGGCGCGCCCGGGGGGGGGGGCATGGGGGGGGGCACAGTGCCCTCCCACTTTTTCAAGCACCCCAAAAGTGCCCCTGTTTACATAGGAAAAGTGCCCCTTTAACCTTGTAAGAAGCGCCCTTTTTACATAAAAAGTGCCCCTATTACTTTGATAAGTGCCCCTATTAATTTTTAAAAGTGCCCCTTTCCCTTTTCACCTCTAATATGTGCCCCCTTTTATTTTGCCACGTACCTCTTTTTCCCAGTTACCTTTTCAATAAGTGTCAATTTTCCATTCTCATGAGTGCCCTTTTTAATCTCTAGTAAGTGCCCTTTTTCGGGTACGAGAAGCGCCTCTTTTCACTTTCTTTAAGCGCCCCCTTCACCTCTGATAATTGCCCTGTTCAAATCTTAGAGGTGCCCCTCTTACTTTGACAAGTGCCTTTTTTCCTTTGTCAGAATTGCCCCTTCCCCTTTTAATAATAACTACCCCTTTTTAAATCGGATAAGCGCACTTTACATTTTCTCATGTGCCCCCTTTCCTTTCTAATAAGTGCCCCTCTTCCTTATGATAAGTGCCCCCATTTACAAAAGAGCCCTTTCCCTTCTCATAAATGCTCCTTTTCATGTCTGGTAAATGACCCTATTAAATTCTGAGAGATTCTCGTTTTATGTTGACAAGTGCCCCCTTTCCTCCTGATAAGTGCTCTTTTAATCTCTAATAAAAGCCCCTTTTATTTTGACAAGTGCCCCCTTTCCTCCTGATACGTGCTCTTTTCATCTCTAATAACAGCCCCTTTTTATTTTGACACGTGCCCCTTTTCCTTCATAATAAATGTGTTTTTCCTTCTTATAAGTGCCTCTTCCCCTTTTCATAAAAGCCCCCTTTAACCTCCAATAAATGCCCCTATTAAAATCTGATCGGTGCCCCTTTCTCTCAACAAATGCACATTTCCCTTTATTGTTAGTGCCTCTTTTTCATTCTCATAAGTGCCATTTTCATCCCTGGTGAGTGCCCCATTTTCACCTCTGATAATTACCATTTGTACTTTGACACGTGCTCTTTTTCTTTTATAATAAGACTGTCTTATCCCTTCGATAAGTGTCTCCTTTTCCTCTAATCATTAAACGTGCCCCTAATTTCAAGCGATTAAGAGCAATATCCACCAAAGCTCGCTCGATACGCTCGCTCGTATTTATAGATGTCATAATTATGCTACTTATCAAATGCCTTTTCAGTTCTGTTATGAAAATGTGCTTATAAACCGATGAGGATTCGATTTTTCCTTTTTATAAGATGTAATTTTTTGCACTGCAACCTCACAAATCTTAATTTTTACCTCGCTCGCTTTGCTCGCTCGCAATCGATTGTTCCGACCATCACACCCAACTGCAAGTTATGATGCTTAAGCAACATTTATACGATGTATAAATAGAAACAAATATTGAAATCATCCCTGGTATATACCAATGTCTACAAAATTGTATATTTTCGCTTTGAGATTTCCCTTTGTAGGTGCCCCTTTTTCCTCCAGAAAGTGCCCTTTTTTGTTGGTGCCCCCAACTTTGAAAGTCGCTCCGCCGCCTCTGTGTGTGTGTGTGTGTGTGTGTGTGTGTGTGTGTGGGTGGGTGAGTTTTTGCGTTCTACTTATTTAACACATTTCAGTGCAAACTGTTCTAAGGTCTAATGTATCAGTTTTGCCTTCTCAAATTGGCGACAGTTCTTGTTTGAAAATTACAAAGAGCACAAAATAGGGCAAACTTTCCACTCTGAGTTGCCAGTTTTTAGATTCATTGAATCTAAAAACTGGCAACGCAGAGTTGCAAGTGTATGTTCTTCAAATTAAACCGTTCTGGTGAACAATACCACAGAACAAAGAAATTAGCATTTAAACAAATAGTGTGTAAACAGGTAAATATGCTTGTTCTTGTCGTTTGCCTTGTTTTTGTTCTTGTTCGCGTACATAAAATGAATACTTCCACAGGTAGTTCCTTATTTTTTCCTAAACAAACTCATGTTGATGCAGGATAACGTTACGTTCTTTCTATGAATTATCGCGGCGTAGGTAAAAGTAGCAAAAGGCACAATATTGTTATACCTAAAATCTAAACAATGTGGCATATGTTGCATTCAGGGTACTCCTTTCGTACCGGACATAGCTGAGAATGAAATACGCAGGGAATGAGGAGGTAAATGTGTTTTTGTTCTTGTAACATGTATAACTCAAGGGGAATAGCAATTGCTTTTAAAAATACGGTCCCAGTCAATATGAATGGGCTTTAAAATAGACAACGCAGGCCACATTGTAGTTTTAGACTTGATACTTGACGAATATGATATTACAGTCGTATCGCTGTATGCAATATGGGCCAAATACAGACTATCCAATATGTGTCGTTGATCTTCAACAAATAATAAATTAATATGAAAATCAGCATACCGTTATCTGTGGCGATTGGAATTTAGTGCAATATTCAACTCGTGCTACATATATTACCCCCGTGCAAAATAACAGGTAAAGGAAATGAAGAAAGAATTACATTTACGTAATACCTAGAAAGTTAAATTCCCAGTTAAAAGTTTTTATATATATGACGTCAACAAAACCTTTTTAAACAGGGATGACTTGATTTATTTTTTTATATCGTCAGAACTTTTTTCGTTATAGTTAGAAAAGCTTCATATTTGCCGGGTTATCGAACGGACCACTCATTGATTAGATTAAAGGGATAGTTGAGTTTTGTTTTCAGACCGCAAATGCCTTCAAAGTGCTTGGTTATTGCTCTTATTCTTATCTATGACATTTCTAATGCCCTTTTAGGACCTAAAATTGCTATGAAGGTTATTTTAGACCCCAAAATGTGTACCAATTCAGCTCTACTTAAAAAAAAATACGGTGACCGTTAATTAATTAATTCATTAATAATAACAATACATGGGCCGGCTGGTTGTGCGTACTATAACCAACACGAAAAAGCCAACAAAAAAGCCAACATCGGCATCGACTGAAATACAACCTAAAAGGTGCTATTTCGTTTTTTTCAACGGCTTATTCAAATTATCGAGTATTGTGGTACACAAATATTAGAAATCGTTATATTTATGGATATTTCAGCCGTCTCTGAACCGATTTTGATCAAACAAAGATGATTTTGTCATTTGAATTGTATGTTCTTTCAAATTTGACACCCAGTTTTTCGTTATCTCACAACAAATTATTTTGTGTAGCGCCCTCTGCAACATAACTCAACTATCCTTTTAACTCTGGGCCTAAATGAGATAAATCGAGTCCCTGGTTTTGGGAAATTCAATAAATCTTTGTTAAGAAATGAGTGTTTGGTTTCACAAATAAAAAAAACTATGAAAGAGACTATTTTGTTTAACGCCATGAACACGATAGAGTTTAATGATAATGATTGCATAGTTGGTAGTTGTGGGTTTACCATAAATGATCAATTATCCTTTTGAAACATTGATGTTAATGCGGGGAGAAGTAATATAATTATCATACTTTTCCTTTTTAAAGAACCAAAAAATAATCGTAAGAAAGAAATTTTGCAGCTTAATGCAAAATTATATATCTCTTTTTGAAATAATATGCTGGCAATCCGACTTAATTATGATATGGAAATAAATATACAAATTTTAAGAAAAGAACTTCCGGAAAAAATGGTTTATGTTTACCAAACGTTTTTGAGTGTTTTTGAAATA